GATGTGTTTTCCCAATTATTCTAAAAAAGGCAAACCTTTCTTTATTTCTGCCAATTAAAATAAATATCTTTAGCGTTTGTTACTGTCAATCAAGGTCTATTTTACTCTCTACCATTATTATTATATTATGCTCCGTGTAATGAAACAGTTGCAAGTTGAAAAGCAAAGGGGGGAACAAACAAATAAACAAACAGGGCACCTGCATGGCTGTCAGTGCGCCCACAATCTACGAGTCCTCCCGTCCGCCTGCAAAGAGAAATGTGAATAATAATCTGTTTATCTGTTTTGGAGCAGTTGTTGTTTCTCGTTGGCTGGTTGCTGCGGCTGACTTTTAATTGCATCACGTGTCTGTGCGCAGCGGTCGAAGCACGTTCCCATTATGAACGGGGAAAGAACGGAGGAATTATCCTACGTGTTCCGGAAATGGCGTGACACCGCGTTTAGATGGATTTCACAGATCTGGCTGCGGCCGAGCGTGCACCATGCTTTTGCACCGCGTGACGTGATTTAATTAAATTTGGACACGTCTTCAAACTGAAACGGAAAACAAGGGGTGTGTGTGTATCGTCCCGCCCTTGTCGGAATTCACTTAGCGATGTATGGCTGTCAAAAACAAAGCAGCTCGAGTGTTTCGTCACGATTGCAAAATCACCAAGGCTGAGTGAGTGGAAAAGAGTCCAAACAAGTTTTCCAGCAGGCGTAGAGTTGGATATAATTAAAGCAAAGTGGCTGGAACAAACTTAAATTGCTTTGAACTTTTAAAGTGAGGTTGGAAACTTTCAGAAAATTTCATAGTTCAGATACTTTTGAAGTTCATGAAGGTAATTTTTGAGATAGATAAATAAAAACAAAATTTTTATTTTAAAAATACTAAAACCGCTTGCATTGTCAATATGATCTAATTTCAAATTCAAGTTTTTTAATCTCTTAAATGGATTAACTGCTACTATAAGGCTTGAAATTTTTAAAATTTTAGTTAGATTTTGACAAGTATAAATTTATTTACATTTATCCTAATTAATATGACTTGTATTTACTTGAAGAACGAGAAACAAACAGCGTGAAAAGTGCAGACGCAAAGAGCAGAAGGCAAACAGACGCATTCCCACGCCGAGAAAAGCAAACCTCTCCTTGTGCCTGTGCGTGCGAATAGAAATATCTCCGCGAGCGTAATAAAGTAATTCGTGGAGGATTTGGAATATTTGCGCAGGCAAAGGAAAGGAGAGTCGAGGCATCGCACCCTTTGCTCTTGGTGAGAGCAAAGAGAAAGAAAGGCCTGCTTTTCGTCTCTTCTCAACGCATACAAAAGGGCACGGTCGGTTTTCTTACAAAATGTTGTTGGCAAGAAGCACATTGTAGCCAAAAACTTGTTCAAGAGTTTTTGGGCAAGACGCAACTTTACCAAAACTTCCTTGAACAAGAATCGCCAGGATTTGGCCAGGATTCACCAGTGCTGCCACCTATGAATGAGAACAATTTAAAATGAATTCAATTCAATCCAATATAATATCTAATATCTATTAATTGACCTCAAATCAATTAAGGTTTTTATATTTTGAACTTTTTTAGTTTCTGGGTTTATTTAAATTTTGTCTCGGCCATAACCTATTTGACGAGGCAAAATGGAGACAGTGCTGCCACCTACAAATGAAATCAATTATTTTTTTATCATAATTATCATCATAAAATGATTTATAACTTGCGTGGTATTGTAACCCCTTGTTGATATTAATAAAATTAATTTTAATTATTAAAAATTACATCTATACAATTATAACAGTTTGTTTTTGGTTCTAAATTCATCTTGTCAAAATTTTCTTCTTGCCGACAACATAAATAAATGTGTTTCTTGGGCACACCTTTCACCCTTTCGGAGAAAGAGATATGCGGGCGTAAAATAGAGAGACACGCACACGACACGCTGCAGATCATCTTTACGACGCGGAAACATGAAACTGGCCCACTCGAGAGTCACGCACACGCAGCCTCACCTGCCGATGCCTGTCTCATTAAGAGTTTTACGCTTGCTTTTGTGCAACCGCTGCTGCTGATGGCGCCTCGGAATTAAGCATTCCTCCGAGTCTTATCCAACTATTTAATTACGGACAGTCAGGGAAGCAAGCTGACGAGCGGGTGGAATTAATCCGATGCTAGTTTCCCTCCCCTCGGCTCTGCATGCCTCTCTTGAAATTTATCTCTTAATTTTAAAACAGCTCCTCGTCTTGAGCACCCAACGTAGCGAAGCGGCACTTTTGACAGCGGGGAGTCTTTGCAGACAAATTATGTGCTTCAAAAGGGTCAGCTTAATTTAATACACGAGACTCAAAAGAATTTTCAATTCCAAAGATAACTTTCTTTAAAAATTCTCGGAATTTTGATTAAAGTTTAATAAATGACACAGAAATGTGAAAAAAAATTACTTTCCGTTTATCTAACACTTCTTAAATAATAAAGGAGTTTATAGAATTTCAAAATCTTTCTGTTAAAGATCATTTTAATTAAACATGTGAGAAAACAACTGTAATTTTTCTTAAAATTCAAAAACTAAAATAATCTCACAATTGAGTAATAATATTTATCAATATAATCTGCATCATTTATGAATTTCTGCAAAAAGTAAAAAAGAATTAAATTAACAACTAATTGCAATAAAAAACGGATACTTTTTTAAAGTTGCTTCAGAAAAAATATAAATGTATTTTAGGGAAAGAAAATTAATATTAACTTCCACATCGCTCATACATTTTAATTCAGGCTCTGCAACCATTATTGTTCTTTATCTGAGGAAGTCCAATAATTCTAATGGCCACACCAACAACGAGGGAAATTTTGAAAGGCCAGATACTTTCGCCAACTCATTGTGAAATAATCGCCCAAGCCCATCTCTCTCTGGCCACACTTCTTCTTTTCGCAACAACCCCAAACGATCTCCCCTCCAACAATGAACCGAATCAGTGCAAAAGCAGCCGAGTGAATCGCGGGTCGAGTGCAGAGCAAAGGGCGGCTTCTTCTTTCTCATTGTGCTGTGTTTTCTAAACAGAGGCCAGGAGTTTTGATTATATCGACGCCACAGGGGTCTTTCTCTTGCCCTGGCGCTTATTTACTCGCAAAGCGCCGCCGCTGCTCTTGATTAATTCGGCCGAAAGGAGTTTTCCAGGCAAAGTGGATGTAAAAGGACACTTTCACAGCAGTTGATTTTGAGACTCGCTCTCAGGCGGGAATTGAACCGAAAAGAGCCTGTCGGGCTTCACCGCCCTTCCTGTCCTTCATCAGGCTTCACTCGAAAAGATTTCAACAAAATTTACTTCTAAGCAGAAGAGAGGAAGTAATGTAAAGTAATATCTTCTTTTGCACTCAAAAAAACCGAGGAAAGTTGGAGAAAATAAAATAAGAACAACAAAATTCCACTTTAATCAGAATTTTATTAAAAACGATCAAAATTTTTTTTATCTGAACTTTGAACATTTTCCTACACAGTCTTCCAACTTTTAGTGTCCATGAATAATATTATGAGATCCAACTTAGCCATTGCTATACGGTGCTCCTGCAAAAATCATGTCCGCAATCAATCAAAAACTTTTTAATGGCGAAGCTTAAAATGTAGTTCCGCCCGTCTCTGTGTCTCTCGTAATTTGAATAAATTAATATTAACTACGGTGGTGTGGCGAGCATGTGAAAATTGCCGTCGAAAAACTTCTGCGACCAACGTTACTTTTTTGCATTAAAAAGTTGGTTCGTTGCACCCGCAGCTGCACGAACTGCTAACTAGAAAAGCTCGGCAAAATGGAGCAAACTGCAATTACCAGCCGAGCTAATCACGCCCCGATTATTTAATGTGCAAGACTCAAATGCATGCATGTCAAAAGCTCGGTTCATGTAGAGCAAAAAGTAGCATATATTAATTTTCAAACGTCGGAAGCAGGCGATTTGTAAATCAAAAGAGTTGATTTAAAAGCAATTCTATATCCATTGGCAACGAGTGCAAAAATCGCTTTGCAGAATTGAGTCATGAAATGGGAATGAGCTCTTCTCTCTAATTTCTTTCATTAAATGCCCTTTCTTAAATTTAATCAAAGTATAATATAATTTATTAAACAATTTTTAAAAACTATTTTACCTATCAACAGCAATTTAGTTTTTTAAACTCAACTTATTTTCCAAGTAAATCAATTTAATGGATTTTTTTACTTTTGTCAACCAAAACCTGTCACAAAATAAGCCCCTTGAGGCTCATTACTTATTGAAAAAGGGCAGGTCGGCACACATTTTATTTATTTTGATCAACAAAGGCGTTCAGCACAAGTCCAATTACGATGAAATTAATTTATGTGAATAGATGGTCTGCCCCGTGGGCGAGTCGTCGTCGCTCTTTCTTCCTTTCGAACGCATTCGCTGACACGGCTGCTTTGCACAGCAGAAGGACGGTTATTTTTGGCGGACTGTCTTCTTTCTTTCTTTCAACGTTGCGTGTTGCTTCACATTGACGAATGAATGGAACTGCTCTGAAAAGCGACGAGACGTAACAGTATTACGTGACAACTCGCCAACGATAAGTTTTGAGAATGAAGCAACTTTATTTAAAATAACAGTTGAAAATTCCAAATTTTTTTAATTTTGCAACCCTTAGCTGAAGAATTTTAAAGCGAGAAATTAGAAATTTACAAAAAGATTTTTCCATTCATCAGTCTAGACTATCTAAAAGAAAAATTGATAAAATTTATTTCAAGAAATTAATTTTTTTGTGGCCTTACATAAAAATATTCGTCTCGATTGTGGGAATAACTGTTGTTATTTGTTCCAGAAATGCGATGATTTTCTTTCAAAGTCAACCAAATTTTCTTGTGAAAATTTTCAAATTGTCAGGGATAATGTCAATATGGGTCTATAAATTTATTTAGAAGTGACCCTTTTTTGTTCTTTTTAAAACTTTTTAAATGGAAACGAATTTTTATTGTAATTCGTGAAAAAGACTATAATTTCCTCTTTTTATATTGTTGCAGGTGAGGGTCTGAAAAATTCCGAGGTGATCATTTTACTGGCAACTGGTGAGTGTCCAAAATGTGCAAAATTCGTCCAGCCGTGAGAGTATATTGGCGTCACGTTTTTAATTTCATTCAAACGGGGCCGAATCGCAATGCAGGCGTGTAATTTCCTGGCTGCGGAGTTCATTTTTTACCAGTCGAAAATTTATATCTACGCGTGTGCGCAGAGGGCGAAAAAACGGTGCTAAATAAAACGGTTTAAATGCTAAATACGTGAGGAGCGGACAAAGTTTTTCGGCCGCTCTTTTAATAACGCCTCGTGCGTTTTTAATTTTATATATATTCCGGCGGGCCGCGTCGGCGACGCGCCTCGGCCGCCGCGTTTTTCTCATTAAAGCAATAATTTCGAGCTGGAGGACATGATTTGTGAGTTTCGCGCGTTTTCCGCTTTTCTCGGGGAGTAATGAAGCGCAGGAATTATTTCCGCGCAATTAGGCTGCTTTTTTGCCAGCTCTCGACGTGATCGAGCAGTGTGATTAAACAAAGGAAAACACAATGACACTTTTAATCATTTTCTCCCAAGCAACGTTAATTAGCTGCTCCAACAGTCCTTTGAGAATATCCTACTCCATCCTATTATTTGTGGAAGAAGCAAATCATTTAAATTAGGACCTGTTAATTTAGGCTGAAATTAACAAAAGGAAACTTAAAACAATGATCGCCTGGATAGAATTGAAAGGAAAATTATAGTAAAATTGGAGCTTTTTATATCTTATATATACATGACTTAATTTAATGTAAAATTTTGATGTTAGAACAAACATATTTTCACCTAAATTAATTAAATATGATACATTGAGATAGTTAGGATGGAGATGAATTTAAAGTCGACATTTACTTGATGGGTGTGTGCAAGGCAGCTAGGAAACGACTCGAAAACTAATTGAGAATAACAAATTTTAAATCAGTTCTATTTTGAATAAAAAAACGACAGATTTTCTTCAAACAGATAGAACTTTAAAAAAATATTTGAAAATAAATTTTAAGGTTCATTGAAAAATCCTCTAAATTTTTTGATAATTTATTGAAAAATCAAGAGACCGTATAAAAAATATCATTAATTCAAATAAAGACAAAAAATTTCATTAGAATCAATTTACTAAATTTCTTTCTTCTAATTATTCTAGTCATTAGTTATTATTTCGCGTGCTATCAAGAAACATCCCCTCGTTGAATCAACTGACTTAGCAGCGACTGATTGTTGAACTTTGAATCCAAAGTCTCATCACGGACAAACTTAATTAACTTTGCCAATCCTCTAAATATTCGAATGGAACTTTTCTCTCAGTCAGCATAGATTCGAGATTTCCAAAGGGGTGAAAATGCGCCTGACCGAGAAAACGATCTCCCAGTCTTTCCAATCCAAATTCGATTTTGCTCTCACCCATGTCAAGTCAGAGGGGGTATTAAATCTGAGCTGCCGCGACTCGAGCTGATCGTCGTCAAAGTCTCATTGTGCAATCAAAAATTATTGAGGCGCACGTAACGATTCAAATTATTGAGCTCTCAACAGGAAAATTACGTTTAGTCGACGACAGCCTTCTTCGTCTCTTCTCCGAGCTCAAAATGAACTTTGCTTTTTACAGCTGACGCAAAGATAAAGTGCTGGAGCGTCCTTTCTCCGGCAGGGAGCACATTGGACAAGAGATAAGCGCACGATTAACATTCCTCGCAGTTCTTTCTGCCAGTTGGCTTTAATAGGTAATCTTAACGATTTTGCTCAGGAGAGTGCGAACCGTTGATTTCGTCTCATTAAAAATTCTCTTTCTCCTCCCAAAAGTAAAGTCAGCCGAGGGCGCGCGTGAAACGCGCAAAACTTCAGCTTCGTTGGCCAAACTGAAAGTAAAATCGTTGAAAAGACGGCAAAAATCACAATAAAAGAGCTAAATCTGCCAACTGCGTAATTTCTCTCGTGATCATTTAAAAGTTGATTTGTCGAAGAGTTCTGGGGTGTATAAAATTATTTAAATATTGACAAAAATTAAATGAAATTTTTTTTCCATTCATTTCTTATTCAAAATTTCCCTCGTCTCTCTCGCGGCGCCACAAAAAGCGAAAACATTCTCTGTTGTTTACCGAAATTAGAAATCACCTTGTTTGCTCGCAAAAAAAGCGGCTTTCACATGCGTGCAAAAAAAAATCAACTCGATGGTGGTGTTTGCCTTTGGGGAATCAAAAACACACACTGCAAAGCCAGAGCAAATAGAATGGGAACATTTTCCCTCACTTGTCCGAAATCAGATGTTGCAAAAAAAGAAACAGATTCACAGGTATATAGCATTTTTGTTAGTTTTTTCGCACTTTGGAAAAAAGTGGAAATCGATGGTTGGTGGTTGGTTTCGTAACGAGATACTCGCTTTTTTGCTTATTACACAAAGGGTCTCTCTCTTTTTCTCTTTCGGCTCCCAGAGGTCTTCCTTCCTTTGATCTCGCTCTCGTTTCCGTGCTTTTTAACTCGCTTCCACGCAGCTATAATTTCATTTCATTTGCATCACAATGACTGCAAAACCCAAGGCAGTGTTGCCGAATGACGCAGTCAAATGAGAAACAATACCCATTTCAAGCATCAAGTATCTTTCACTATAAAAATAAAAAACCGGCGTCAAATGTCAAAGGGCGCGTATTGAAAGTAGTAGAAATACTTTTGAATTTCTGCTATAAAAAATAAATCGTTTGGAATGGCAGTTTGTGCGTTTCGTATATTTTTTACAACTTTGGCATGAAGCAGCATGGATGATGGAAAAGTTCTTTATAAATTTAACACTGATTGTGAGAACAAACCAATCAATTGAGACTTAGTCGACTTTTATTTGCAAAAGCAGGCACAAAATTAACTTTTTGTGCTTTTTTCAAGCCAATTATTAAATAAATACCTTATTTAGTTCATTCTTCATTCATTAGATATTGCATCGCAAAAACTTTACAACTGTACCAAAAAGGACAGAGTACTTAGAATATATTTAATTGGAAAACAAAATTGTGAAGGAAATTTTTTTTAGCACTACTTTATCCATTTATAAGGGAAATTCAATTGCCCCTGGTTATGAAGCTGAATTTTCCAGCATAATTTAATGCGTCTGCTTCAATGAGTCTTGATTTTTAATAAGCGCAAGCACCAGCCACCGATAAAATTAATGCCTCTCTGGCTTCGCAAAAAACGTCGCCTTGCAAATTACTTGCGATTAAATGACGGCTCCAGAGCAAACATAATTAAACTGGTGGAGCGAGAATAATAACGACAAGTACACAGTGCAATTAGCCGCGTGACTGCCATAAGCATTCAGCGATTTTATTTACCAGCAGCCTGCGTTCTCTTCCGTCTGCCGCTTAATTAAAAATGTCGTGAAAGAAAAACAGCCGAGTCGAGAAAATTTGATTTCGTCTCTCGGCTTTTTATTGTCCATAAATCAATCGGAGCAAGGAAGTGAGTGAGTCTCGCGGGGGGTGGCGTCAAAAGGGGCTGCGTTTCCTTTCGAGCCAGTTTGCTGACTGCTGCTGAAAAATGACTTGTTGCCCGAGTTATAAAATATGAAGTGGTTATATTTGATGTGAAAGCGCTTTTCACGCCGCCAATAATCAATAAAAGCTGACTCCGCCGAACCAACCTTTGAGAGATAATTGACAGATTGCGTGGGCGAAAAAGCAGACATCAGCGCGTGTGTCAAACGGATTTGTCCGCATTATTAATTCAAAGTAATGCAGTGAAATAATTGGGGCAAAATTTAATTTCATCACTTTCTGAAAATGGAATATATTGCAATGTATGGTTGTTTTGTAGGTGAGTTTTCTGAACATGATTTTATTATCTCTTTGCAGAAATAAAATTTAAGATCTCAATTTCTACGGCTTAATTAAAAGTTAATAATGCAGAATAATTTTCATATAAACAAAACATTTTGAAACTGCAGTAATATGTAATAAAGCTAATTATATTTTATATAATTTTACATTTAAAACGGAATTATTATATATTATTTATATTTTATTTTACGATTTAATTTCTAAAGAATGCAAATGTAAGAAAATAATTACTTTACTATACACTGATTAAAAACCATTACATTATTATTGGAGGAAAAAATTATATATATTGTGAAGTAAATAAAAAGAATCTAACTTTTGAGTGTAAAATTAAAATCGTATAAGTCTGATGGTCTGATCAAAATTAGTGATATTTAAATTGAAATATAAAATTAAAAAGTAAAATGCATTATAGTATGAATTTAAATTATTGCACAGCTCTTTTACAATAAGATTATTTCCAGTGATCTCACGTCACTCCAGAGGCGCATTTCCTTTGGCATCCCTTTAAGCCCTCATTTTGACGTAACAGCCCCCTAGGTGACGAGTGGTGCAGGAGATCGTGAGCGTATTCCAAATGATCTTCATTTAAGTGGAATTTTCAATTTAAATTTAAACGCGACTTGCCATTATGCAGCGCATTAGAGGCCTCTTCATCTCGTTTATGGCCTGGAGCGGGGAAAGGGACGCATTTTTAGTTAGGTCTTGCATTCGGATGGATGCGGCCCAACCCCATAAAACAGCCGCTCGAGTGCTTGTACGTGTTCATGTTTCACGCGAATCACCGTCGTCAAATTTTCCAGGAGCCCCTCTCGGTTTTAATGGCTTTTTAGACAGTAGCCGGTGAGCTCAAAACGTTGCTTTTACACGATATTTTTTACTAGGGCGGCAATAAAAGAGGCCAAAAATACACCAAATTTAATTTAAATTGAATAAATTCCTAGTATTTTTTTATGGCTTATTTTTAGTATTTTTCCCTTCAAGACTTAATAGCCTTTGTCGCTCATTTTTTTATGGAAATAACGCAAAAATTTTAAAAAGTGACTTATTTCATATCAAATTTATTATCAATCGCTTTCTCACAATAATCTCTAATCTATTACTTTTGAAACAAAGTGAAAATTTGGCTAAATCAGTTTATTCCTATGGCAACTGGGGGCGCTATTGGGCCGAATATCAGCAACCACAGCGCCGCCAGCGCCGTTCACATAAACTAAGCTGATTGAAAGACCATTGGAATTTCTTATGCTTTTGTTCCAAAGTTCACAAATTAATTTTGTGAGAAATGTGATAACCAATTCTGGTGCTCAGGTAGAAAATTTTCTTTTGTTCTTAGCCAATATTATTTAAAATTTGACGTTCTCGCAGACTAAAATTTAATTATATTCAAGTTTTCATTTCTCTGCTGCGATGAATAGAAATCCTCGTTATTGATTTTATAATTAAATGTACTCTTGTATTAAAAGTGTGAGAAACCATTTAATTCTGGTGGGTTATTTGCACACGTTAGAACCTGGGAAATCGATAAACTGGTCTCACACAACTCGCCACGCAACACAGGTTCTCGATATAATTGAATTTGGTCGGCAAGAGAGGCGAGCGACATTAAAAATATGGCCGGCATATCCGGCGAGTGATGGGATCCGCGGGCACAACTTTCTGGCTGGGACAAAGAGCAGCCCCGTGTATAGTAATAATAAATACACACCCGCTTGCGCGCGTGAATCGAATTGTGCGCTCACACGCGAGCGAATTTCAACGGGCGGATATTAACTGATATTAATAAACTGGGGAGCTTTTTGCAATACGGAGAGAAATAATAGGTCGTTTGAGAGGATTTCCCATAGGAATTTGAATCGTTTGGTGCGAATGCAAATACTTTATGCATTAATAGCATGGCTGAGATTTTGTTACATTGGAATGTTTTAAATAGTAATTGAGAGCTTTAATTTAAAATTATAAATTAAGAAAGTCAATGAGAGATTTTGTTTTTCCTACTTATTTGTAACTCCGGAAAAGAAATCATGAATTACTGAGTGAAAAGAAATTTGGAACCCACCTAATTTTAAATTATTACTAACTACATATTTATTAATTTAAATGTTCAATATTAAATTTTAATAATTATATGTTATTATTATAAAATTCCAGAACTAATTTAATCTTATTTCATTAACTTTTATGCCCTTTAATTACATTTTTTGACTTAAAAATAAAATATTTTTACTTGATATATAATATTGATACTAAAATTGGTTCCAAATGATCATGTATTAATTTCTTCTCTTGCTGCCGTAATTAAATTGGCGCTTTCGCACCCTGTGGGTATTGCGAGAACCCTGCCTGGGAGATAATTCCGTTTTTTGTAACCCATTAACCAATTGGCGGCCGAGAGGAGCGACTCTCTGATGTTTTATTGGGCCGATTGCAATCTTGGCGGACCACTTTATTTCTTGCGTGTCCTTTCCCGAATAGGAAATTAAACGCGGCGGCTAACAAATGTGCACGGCCGGCTGCTATCTGCACACTTCATCGCGCGCGGCTCGCAATTAATGGAATTCGCCGGCCGGCTCGTCGCTGTGTTGTGTGCCCATGTACTTGACGAGCACATTATGTACCAAGAGGATTACCCTCAGCACGTAAATGGGCACCGCATATTGATTTCAAAGTTAATCCGCCGGCAAGAGAGAGCTGCTTTATGTACCTTTGCAATGTCCCCACCCAGTTAGAATAATGATAAATTTCCGATGTGAAATCAATTTTGTTTCTTTTTTACCTCTCTGATGTTATTAATATCCTGATGTTAGTATTTGATTGAAATAGAGACGGATCCTGAGCAAAACTGGTATGTAAAGCCGTTTATTTATTATTTAGAAACATTAAAATTAAATATTTAACAAGGATAAAGTAAATTAGTAAATTTTACTCTAGATAAAATTGTTTTAAATTTCTTTTTCATTCATTTCATATTTTCCAACCTTTCCATCTTTTTTGATTTGCTCAAAGAACGTTAAATTATGCAAATCAATCAAAATTTGCTTAATTTTATTTGTAAAACATTGATGTGTATTTTCACAATTTTTGTTTGACTAGAGTTGCGGATTTTACAAAATATTTTATTTTTAGCCAAACGAGCCAATAAATAAAGCGTAAACAAAACACGGCGTACGTAATACGTCCGATTTATCTCTGGCATAACGATTGAGTAATAATTCATTCGCGCACGCACATATGCTCGGAATTTAGTTCAAATCGATACGTTGGCACCACGAGCATCACAAATTCATAAAAAAAGCGTGCATATAGTGGTGTGGGAATTCGCGCTGATTTGAAATAATAATTTTGAATGCGCGCCGCTCTCGGTTGTAAAGCCTTTCATTACGGCAGTGGCTCTTTCGCGTCATTACTGTGATTATGCACGGGTTGCCGGTGGCAAATTCGTATATGTACGAGTTCATTTGCGTCGGAAAATCAGCATAAATAAATATGCATTTCATTCGATATGCCGTAATATGTATGGTTTGAATGGAGCTTGTCAAGCGGGGAGCAAACCGCAATTTTTCGCAGCCGAAATTTTCCATTCAAAATGATAAAAACCAAAATGATTTATCGTCGCTGAAGGCCTAAAGAATGAATTTAATTAAAAAAAAAAAATAATTCCAAAGTGACGTTTAATAAATTTTAAAAATAGAGTTTCAGAACAGAACGAGTTTTATAATATTCTATTTTTGTTTTTTTTTTTTGTTTTTGAGGAAGTGACGAAATTACCGTGGAAAATAAGGCAGTGTCGTTTCCTGTGTTTTCAGAGCGAGTGTAATGCGACGTCGGGCGCGGCTCTTTCCAGCAACACAACTGTAACCGACGGTAAGTGTCCTCTTTTGTGTGGTACATGCATGCACTTTGCACACTCGTCGTGTAAACACACAATTGTGAAACTCGGGGGAAAAGAGGTCGAGAAAAATAATACTCCGGCAACAACGCAGAGTCATTATTTTGACACGTGCATTCATTATTGTGGCTACCCATTGTCTTATTTCACATTGTTTTGAAGAAAAAAAAATTAAAAGTGAAATTCATGACTTTTCAATTTTAATATGTAACAATTTACTGAGATTTATTATAAAATGTGATTTATAAAAAAAAAATTTTGTTCGAGTTAAAAAATATAAAAAAAGGTAGATTTTCAATGCGATCTAATTCTCATTGAAATTATATTCTCTGATGATTGTTATAAAAGTAGACTCTAATGTACATACTTCGGTATTCAATTAGCTTTTGTGCAGTTTCTGATGCAGTTTTGTTCTCATGGTCGGTTCTCTTTAATTATGTGTCAAAGAGAACCAAAGGCCGTCGCCCTGCTTATCCTACTTTATTGTTTCCACCAGTGGATGAGCAGCTAATATTGATACGGATTCCCATAGTCTGCCTTTCAGAAATGAAGCCGTCGTTGCAAAATTACGCAACTCGTCGACCTCTTTCATCTATAATCAGATACTTTGACACAGAAAACTCCATTTTCCTCCATCCCATTATACTTTGGAAAACGAAAGACATTTGCCTCGAATATTTCTCCAGATTGATTTTTTTATCCACTCTCAGATAAAAACAATCTCTGTGGAAAAAAAATGGATTTCGCCGAAGCACACACATCAAAAACTGCTATTCCAAATACGCACAATAACAGCCGGGGCGAGACCGAATGTTTGCTTTCTCCAGACTCCATCGGGGAAAAATCCTCGCAGACAAGACCGCCGCAGCCTCGAGTGCGAATAAATGTAATTTCCTCTTTCTCTCTTTCGCTCGCAAGCACTCTCTGGAAACGTGCAGGCCATGGAGCCTCATGAAAAATGCAAAATTTTATCATCGGCTGACGGTCGTCAATAATGCAAAACGCAGCCCCCGATTGGCTGCCCGCCGGCTCCTGATCAAATATGCAGCCCGGTCAGGCGGCAGCGGCTCTGTGACAATAAGCTGGCAGCCTCTCGCTAATATTTGATTGCGTTTCAATGTGCAGGGCACGATTGCTCCTTTTGTAAAACACTTGTCGCACCGGAAGGCGTTTCAAGTTAAAGGGAACTGAATTGGAGCTCCGGAAATTCAGGAGTGAAGAGGCAAAATTAATATTATGTATAAACTGGATAAATAATATTAATTATTTTACATTTCTTAGAATTTTTTTACTAAACAAAACATTCAAATCAATTGTTATTTGCTGGATTATATATCAATGTAGCTACTTACAATTAGTATACTCCCGTAGATAATAAAAATTTAAAACTAATCCTTTTAAAATTTTGAAGATAAATATTAAAAAAACAAATTTACATGTATTTAAAATTTAAATAAAGTTGAATTCAATGAAGGAAAAAATAGAAGAAAATTGAATTATACTAATATGATGTCAAAAATTGCCGGAGAGAAAAATAGTGGACTGATATTTTCAACTGAAACAAAAGACTAAAAGATCTATTTAACATTCGAGCTGCTCGGCGCCAACTGCCAGTGAATTATTTATTCCGCCCGGTGGTTATGTGTGTATAATTGCATTCATAAATTCAAACTTGCCGATAAAGCGCGCCATTTCCATATTCGCTCATGAGAAAGCGGCGCGCCGAGAACTAATTAAATCGGCGAACAAATCTAGCGAACCCGCACATCCACCTCATAAATTATCCACGGCTGAAATGAAGTTGTTCGTAACATGAAAAAGAGCCGCCAGTTGAATGGAAGAGTTTTCGGTGGAAAGTTCAAGAGGTGAGAAATATTGATGAGGAAAGACGCAATCTGCGAGAAGTTCCGACAAAAATTTTACAGGACCAAAATTTCAAAACTTTTTTTTAACTATTCAATTTGGGAAAAAGCTTTCATCGTTTTTTTTTCAACTTCTGGAGGAAGTGCTGAATTTTGCAAAACGCTCGTGGCAATTTTCTCCAGCAGAGATAGTGGGTCGCCGTGGCCAAGAGAAAGAAAGAAAGAAAGATGATTGGCCGTTGCAAAATTTAACGACGGTCCGCATGCGACTTATACGACGACGGCCGTAAAGCGCGCCAAGAAAAGTGTCGGCTGGCGGCTGATGAGCCATAATGGCGGCTTAGCATGTGCGTTTTTACCCCCTGCACAACAATGACATTTGCAGCGCGGAATTTACAACCTATACTAAAAGTGGAATGCGACTCGGAGAATTTTGCGGCGGAAACGTGCATTTGTGGCGCATCTCGGGGATTTGAATTATGAACCGGCCGCTTCCAAATTGCTGGAAATTTCAAAAGTTGGAAGGATGTTGGCTCAAAAATGGGGTGTTTAAAAAATACGGTTTTAATTCAAATAAAAAATTATACCAAATATCTGAAAAAAAATTATATTATGTTGAGATCTTTTAGATTTTATGAGCATAAAAATTTGTTATGGCATAGTCAAATCCTAACAACAACTGAACCCAATATTTTTGCGATTATTTGTGGTTCTGACCCCATTGTTGAAAAGACTTGTTTCGACTTTGTCTATGAGGAGTCCTTAAAATAGCATTTTAATCGTTCTTATGGTGACAAAAATGATACAAGAACAATGAATTACATTGTTGAATACTAATACCATAAAATTTCAGTGTTCTGAAGGAGGAATTTTATAAAAAATCTATTTTAAGAACTCCTTTTTGGCACGGACAAAGAAGCCTATTTTCTACAATTTCTAATAATTTCCAAAAATGCCTCCAGACGTGCAGGTTGCCTAGCTACAAAAATTGCAGGCGTGACAAGAAAATTATTATTAGACGTTCAGCTATGATAAGGCATTTTGCAGTGTTGCAAAGGTTGCATAAATTTAAAAACTTTCTGAGTATTTTTGTAAATTTCTTAAATTAAAAATTTGATGTCATTTGAAAGGTATTTTTAATGGACATGATTAAAATAATTACTGAAATAATGTATTTAATCTAGAAATATTTTAATTTATTCTATTAATTCAATGCGTTGCATATTTTTTTTAAAGTATTAATTCATATTTTATTAATTATTAGGGCTGCTTGTTTACAACTATTTACGGTGCAAGTCAGATGGTCAGTGTTTTCTTTCTAAACACATTAAAATTAATTTCCTTTTATCTTGTATGCAGCGAAGCGATAATGCAGCCGACTAACTAAAACGCAACCGACCATAATGTGGCTCGCGAGTAATGAATTCTGAAGGCTGGAACGTGTTTGTGTGTGTATATAAGTGCAAAGAGTCATAAAGTGAATTAAAGTGAGCATTTGTGCGGAAGAGAAATGCATTAGAAGCAGCTCGAGAGGAGCTGGAAAGAGATGCAGCTCACTTGGCGCGATCTTCTCTCTCAAGAGTGAGGGATAATAAAAAACGTCTGCTCTAATTTTAGGCGAGGAATATAAACTCTTCCTTGGACGGCTTTTCAATTTACGACTTCCCTATGCTCACGGAACAAACCTACGCGAATCAAAGTTTCTTTTGATAAAGCGAAGAAAACAATGAGAACGTTTCAGCGCAGTTTTATTTCCGGCGTGGTACCGGAAGTCATTTCGAGAGGACCGCCTGCCTAATTCCCTCGCGGATATGAGAATGGCCCGGAAGAGTTGAGAAAAGAAATTCCGACAGGTCTCTGAGCGCGCGAGATGAGAAAATTGAAAGGAGCAAGTGCCGGCAAATTGGGTCGCTTTTCTCTTTTTCTCTCGAGCACACGCAGGCAGGCAGACAACTTGTTCGCAGGCACTTGGGAATCCAGAGTCGCCCGCCGTGTCAACTTTGCGCTCCGACGGCGAGAAATGTACTCGACTCTTGAGTACTCACTCACAATTTGAAAACAAACATTGTTAAATTGTTAGACCGTCACTCAAAGCAATGTTTGCTTTGATAAAAGCCTGCTAATTCGTATATCTTAAATTTTTTATAATAAACAAAAAATAACAATATCCATGAAAATTATAATATAATTTAGGAAGATTTTGACTAGTTTTTAGATAAAAAATTTCAAAATGAAGGGCTAAATTAAATAATTTTTACTATATTAAGTTGAAACATTTTTTATGAAATTATTAAATTTTTTTTGCTATTTTTCTGAGTTTCGCATTTAAAAACCTTCGTAAAATCTGGTAAAATCAGCTTCTATTATATTTTCTGTAGTGAGACATTGAAAAATAACTCTTTAAAACATCATTAAAACATCAGAAAACTTCCCCTTTTAGCATTTTTCAACATTTTTCATTGTTTCTTGAAGATAGTTTACCTGTCTTGGCTGAGGCTATTACTATATTATTAGCCGATCGTAATTTAAATACTTTTATTTTGATCCTGCAGCAACAAATATTTTTATTCACAAAAAAAAATAATCATATAAAATGAAACTTGCTAAAATATTCTAGCCAAGTTGTTATTTACTTAATTTAGTTGAATTTTTCAGATTTTAAAACCTTGTTAAATTTCATTAATTAAAATAATAAGAACATTATAATAAATTTTCATGAATGTGTACTTAAAATATTCAAAAATTCATAATCACGGCAATTTTAAAGCTTAATATATATTATGTTTCACATTGCCAAAGAATTAAATGAAAACTTATATAATTGGGTTATTTTTTAATTGTTCTCTGTTTAGCATCAATATAAATACACAGATTTTATTATATTTATAACAAATATTTTTTGTATAAAAATAGCTCTCTGGGATAGCGTTTTGGACTTCTCTCAATTTCAGTATTATACTTTTCATCCATCTATTGATGAATCTCCAGAGAATCGGATCTAAAGAAAGACCAATTATCTTCGTTGCTATGTGAACCCAATCGGAAAGGAGTATATGGAAGGGTTGAATTAAGGCGGCGAGAGAAATCGTATTTTTCAGCCATCAATCAGTGCT